CGTGTATAGTATCCGGGTACTTTAAAATCACGCGAAAATTTTTTGAGGGGGTACTATACATAGGGGGGTACTTTGGCTCGCAATATATGGTACTTTTTATTACTTATATTATATTCTTTAGTTTTCATTATATGTATTATTTTTATTTATCAAAAAATGTAGTATAGTATTAGTTAACAATTTTATATAAATAGACCTATAAGTTGACCTTGAGTCGATAGAGTTTTGTTTAGAGATTGAGATAAGTCTTAGGACTAGACTTATAACTCTACAGATTTAATAAAGTTACTATTTTACACTTTTAATTTTCTTGTCTTTATCATAAGATTGATCGTGATAATCTACTATACAAGTAAATTATAATAATAAATTATTTTATTTGTTAATCATTAATTTCTCTTAAAAAAGGCCTTTGAAATAGTTGTGTTATTAAGTTCATTAAATTTTGTTAGCTTAGTTTTGAGACAAATCCAAGTCTAACAGTTTGGTGATTCCTGCCAAGAGAAAGACTCTTGAAGTTAAATTGTGAATAAATTTGGATTTATATTATAAACTTCAAGAAGCACATATTAAACAGCATAACAGAAGTCAAATGATTTTATCAACTGACTATACCTTTTTAAGTTATTATTCAATATCAGAATATATTCCTAAGAATTTTAGAAATTTTTGGAATTAGATTAGTATAGAGTTTGAAGTAATTATATTTATTGGAAAAACTATATCTTTATTTGACCAATTATTAGAAAAACTTACCACTTTAATTTTTCTTAAACAACTATAACTTGATACTACCACATTAGCATATAGTAAACTATTACAAATTAGAGTTGAAAAGCTACTGTATAGCTTAATCTTTATCAACTCTAAAATACTTGGACCAAATTCAGATTTTATATCTTCAAGTATAATTAAAGTGGCAAATAAATCGAACTTCTTTAAAAAATCAGTAGAAACTCAATTTAATTCAATAGCATCCTTAACAATAAGCCCTACTCTGACACTAATTAACATTATGATAAGAGAAGATAAAAATAAAAATAATAATCGATAAAGTGAATCAAAACTACCTAATAAAGAATATTGAAATGATCTTAATGAAGTATGGAGAGATAATAATGAAGACTATGGAAGTAAAGATAATGAAACTCTAAATAATAATATTGCAGTAATTATTAGACAAATAAGTAACTCCTTTAAAAGAATTGCTAAAGAAATCAGAGATGCTTGATCACAAGCATTTTCAAGAGAAATCAATATCATACCAGTATAACCATTTTGGGAAAATGATAATAAAGATCTAGAGGAATGGCTTAAATATTTTGAAACAGTTGCAACAGCAAATAATTGGATGGCTAAAAGAAAATGTAATATTGTTGCAGAATACTTGAGAGAATCAGAAGTATTATGGTATGATAATATATTAGCAACTATTCACTATTGAAATATGCAAGGACAAGTTAATACAAGTTTTGTTCTTATGTTCAGAGCTCTCTTTACTATAGCTAGGCAAAAGAATAAATAATACTATGAATTGTCTAATAATAAGTAACTAACGAATAAGAGCATAGATACATACAGTGTAAAATTTAATAATCTTAGAAGATTAGTTGATCCAGGTAATCATTTACTAGATGATTATGATATTAGATTATTCTTAAATAGATTAAAACCTAATATTGCAGTAAGAATTATAATGGCAGATCCTAGAAATTTAAAAATTGCTATTAATAAAGCTAAAGCAACTAAAGCTAGAACATACTATATGAAAGAGTCTTCACAAGCTATAAATAATAATGTGATTAAGGCTTTGACTAAATAGATGGAACAACTCTCCCTCAACTATGCAAATATTGTTAATGTATTAGCAGTACAAAATGGAATTTCAAAGCCCATAAATACTTTATCTAGAAATACAAATGCTACTATAAGAAATAACAATGATAGAAAATCTTATGATAAAGTCAAGTAGTTTATTGGTTATGTGATGAAAAAGACCATTACTCTAGGGAATGTTTATCAGAAAGAACTTCAAAAGAGAAATAAGAGATGCTAATTTAATTGAAATTTTTACTGATGATGAAGGACACGAAATCCTTCAATAATTGATAATCTTGCATCATATAATATAACAAATGATATCCTTTTAAGATAATCCTCTGTAACTTTAGGATAATAGTTACTAATACCAGCTTAAAGAAAAAATCTAGCAAATACTTTAAGATGCTATCTTACACTAGCACCTAGCATTAATTCTTTAGAATTTTTAGATGATGAACATGGAAAGAAAACAACTTCTTATAAAGCATATATTAAGATTAAAAATAATTTCATTAAAGCTATAATTGATATAAGAGCAATCGTTAATATTATTACTAATAAGTTAGTGAAAAAGTTAGGACTTAATATTGATAAATCCTCTAAATTGATTGTAACTACAGCAAATGAAAGCTTTAGAACAAATTACTAATTCAAAAATAAATATATAACATATATCAGTTCCAGTAAAACTTTAAGTAATCGAATCACCATAAGATACAGTCACACCTCGATATAACGAAGTTGCTGATCCAGCCGATCAGGACTTCGTTATAAGAATCTTCGTTAACGC